AGCGCTGGGCCCCGACACCCCCCCGCGGCGCGACACCCCCCCGCGCGCAGCCCCCCCCCCCCCCCCCCCCCCCCCCCCCCCCCGCGTAGCCCCGCCCCCTGCCCCACCCCCACCCCGCGCGTAGCCCCGCCGACCTGCTTTGCAGTGCGGACCCAGGCTAAACCACTCACATGCTGATCGTCACAGGGCCATGGTTCTTTGGGTCGGGCTTTTCCGGGGAGATGCTCCCCCCCAGACTACGTTAACCCGGGTGCTCGGCGCTGGACGCCGATCCCCTGGGGTAGATGTGCACTGCAGACATAGCCAGGGTTAACCCACGTTAGCCTGTCTCAAGTGAGAGCGGCCACACGGCCATAACAGCAGAATGCGTCCACACTGGCACTGCTTTCCCCGTGCGCGGTGCTCGGGCTTCCAGGGGCATGTGCAGCAGGAATTCTTTCCCAGAGAATGGGGGGAGACCTGGTCTGTCCTGGTGGCCTGGCCGGCCCCAAGCACCATCACACTGAAGTCAGGTGGTTGTGTGTGGATGAGAGCTCACGCCCAGGCTGGTCTTTCTAGGTGACAAATCTAAGGAGCTGTCCCAGATTGAGGAGTCAGTAGAGGAGGTTTGGGAACAAATTGATAAATAGGAATTAAACAGTAATAAGTCATCAGGATCAGATGGCATGACCCAAGCGTCCTGCAGCAATTCACATCTGAAATTGCAGAGCTTCTAGCTGTGGTGTGTAACCTCTGGCTTAAATCGGCCTCGGGAGCAGATGGCTAGTGGAGAGCTACTGTGATGCTGAGTTGAAAGAAGCCTGGCAATTCGAGGCCAGTTAGCTTAACTTCAGTCCCAGGCAAATGGATTGACACGATAGTGAAGAACAGAATGATCAGACACAGGTGAACATGATTTGTGGGGGAAAAGTCAACACGGCTTTTGGAAAGGGAAAGCGTGCTGCCTCACAGTCTGCTAGCATTCTCTGGGGAGCTCAACAAACATGCGGACAATGGGGATCCGGTGGATATATGTACCTGGACTTTCAGAAACCTTTGACAAGGTCCCTCATCAAAGGCTCTTAAGCAAAGTGAGCAGTCATGGGATAAGAGGGAAGGTTCTCTCCTGGGTCGGTAACAGGTTACAAGATAGGAAACAGGGTAGGAATAACTGGTCAGTTTTCAGACTGGAGAGAGGTAAATAGTGGTGTCCCCCAGGGGTCTGTACGGGGACCAGGGCAGTTCAATATATTCATAAATGATCTGGGAAAAGGAGTAAACAGTGAGGTGGCAAAATTTGCAGATGATACAAAATTATTCCAGATAGTTAAATCCAAAGCAGACTGCGAAGAGCTACAAAGGGATCTCTCAAAACTGGGTGACTGGGCAACACAACGGCAGATGAAATTCAATGTTGATAAATGCAAACTAATGCACATTGGAAAGCATAATCCCAACTATACATAGAAAATGAAGGGGTCTAAATTAGCGGGTACCGCTCATCGGCTCAGTGTGCAGCAGCAGCCAAAAAGCGAACAGAATGTTAGGAACCATTAGCAAAGGGATAGATAATAAGACAGAAAATATCATGTTGCCTCTATATAAATCCATGGGACGTCCACATCTTGAATACTGCGTGCAGATGGGGTTGCCCCATCCTTAAAAAGAGATGATAGAATTGGAAAAGATGCAGAGAAGAGCAACAGAAATGATGAGGGGGATGGAACAGCTTCCATGTGAGGAGAGATTAGCCAAGCTGGGACTGTTCAGCTTGGAACAGAGACGACTAGGGGGATCTGCAAGAGGGCTGTAAAATCATAGATGGTACAGGGAAAGTGAACAAGGAACTGTGTTATTTACCCCTTCAAGAACTAGGGGTCACCCAATGAAACTAATAGGCAACAAACATAAGGAAGTTCCACTTCACAGAACGCACAGTCAACCCGTGGAACTCACTGCCAGGGGATGTTGTGAAGGCCAAAAGTATAACTTGGTTCCAAACAGTGTTAGCTAAGTTCCTGGAGGATGGGTCCCTCAATGGCTGTTAGCCAGGATGGGCAGGGACACAGCTCCGTGCTCTGAGTATCCCTAAACCTCTGCCTGCCAGAAGCTGGGACTGGATGTCGGGGGATGGTTCACTTGATAATTGCCATTAGCCTGACCCAGTCTGGCCTGTCTTATGGTCTTAAGTGCTAACTTGCATTCAGATGGCCGTAAAGCCGAGCCCTGGGAGACAGCAGGGCAGCGAGCAGCTGTGGACAGTTAACAACTGGGGAGTGAAGCCCTCTCCACAGTGATTCCTCATGGAGCTAGAGAGACCCTTGGTAGGGTGATGCTGCGGCAGGTTGTTGCTGCGTCCCACCATGGAGGCCTTTTCCACCTCTGCCCTCTGTGGGGCCCTAACCGGAGCTGCCTCACGGGGGAGTCATGAAACGAGTTCAGGAGTGTGGGGGGAGGTGGCTCAGGCCTGATGGGACCAGAGGGAACTGTGGGTAAAGGAACAGGTGGCGTGTGAGGGGCGGGATGGGACTGTCTCTCTCACACCCTGCTCTTTTGCCTCAGTGCCTCTGAGCGTGGGGAGTGACTGCCGACAGCCATGATGAACGAACAAATGCAGGAGATGGAGGAGGTGAGCAAGGAGCTACTGAAGTTGCTGGCAGCAGGTGGGGCTGGGAACCTGCTGAAGAGAAGCCTGGACAAACAGGAGAAGATGTTTGACAAGCTCCTGGATACGCAGCTGACGGCAGCGCAGCTGGTTAAAGGTAGGTGCTGCCCCTCTGTTCCCTGGAGCCCAGTGGTTTGTAGGGTCTGGCCTCACTGCAGTGACCTCAGGCTCTTCCCTGCCCCACACACAGCCCTCTCCCCTGAGTGGGGGGTGCTGCCAGGCCAGGCCAGGCGGCTCCCTGGGGTACAGTTAGAGCTTGGCTGAAACCCAGCCCATGAGTCCTGCACGCCTAGAGGGACAGACTCGCTCATCCGCTCCCTGCAGCCAATGGGGGAGCCCAGCGCCAGGCTGGACCCAGTGACCCGTCCCCGGGGCTACCGGCAGGGAAGCGCCTCCCCCAGCGGGTGGAGGGAGCAGTGTGGATTGGCTGGGGTCGATCCTACCGGCTCAGCAGCCCCCAGTCGGGCCCCCTCCCCGCTGGCCCAGAGAAGGGCACGCAGCACCCAGCTACCCTCCCCCGCTGCAGATCTCCTGGCTACGGAGGAGAAGGTGGCTCAGACGCTCCTGGCGGGGGAAGAGGAGATGCAGAGCTGCCTGCAGAAGGTGCAGGCGATGGAAGCGGCGCTGCGGAGAGCCAGTGAGGACAACGCCAGCCTGAGGGCTGACAGCAGATATCCTTCCCTGCCCGGGAGCCTAGAGCCCTGTAGCTAAGTGCCCGGGGCTTTGCAGCTCCAGCGCGCCCCTGGGTGACCCCTGAGGCTCAGACCCAGGCCCGGGCATCTCCCCGGGTGGGTGGGCAGCAGGGGGCTGGGACTAGCCGGGCACACGGAACGCCAGCTGGTTTGGGGGGCAGGGAGGGGAACCAGTCCGAGCAGAGCCACGGTTCCTTCACTGCCTGCCCTACTGCCTTGCGGCGAGAGCTGGAGGAGCTGAGGGCCGAGCTCGGGCGACTGCAGGACGACATGGAGGACGACGCTGGCATGGTCAATTCTGCAACGTGAGTGCGGGGAGGGGACGGGAGGGGAGGGCCAGTGTCCTGCCCGGCCGAGCCTGGGGCTCTGATCCGTGCTGCCAGACGTGGGTTAAAGGGCTGGAATAGCGTGCCCAGGCTCTGGGGCTTGGGTTTAGCTGGCAGGCACAGCTCAGCCAGCCGCTCGGGGGGTCCCTTAAACACTACGGGGAGCCTCCCTTCAAGGGCCTGGCCCCCCCGCCATGTTGCTAGAGGGGTCTGAGCTGGGCCTGAGCCCCACACAAACGGGATCCCGCCTGTGAGTTTGCTCTGTGGGACCAAAGGGCCCCGTGCTGGGCTGGCTGGGGCTGTGCAGGCGGGGCCAGGAGCTAACAGCTGCATCCCACAGGTACATCGCACAGCTTTACTACAAGATCAGCCGGATCGACTGGGACTACGACTGTGAGCACCCGCAGATCAAAGGCAGTATCCTTTCCGGGGGGGGGGGGGACACCCACCCGCCCAGCAGCAACGCGCCATTTCCCCCGGCGGCCCCCCCCAGTCCATCACGGCCCAGCCATCGCTCAGCCCATCAGCATCGACAGCAGCCAGCACTCCAAGTGCTTCGTCAGCGACTACCTGTGGAGCCTGGTGGACGCAGCCTGGTGACCCTGCCCAAGCCAGCTCGTGCCGTGACCAGCGTGAGGAAGGACGGAGCCCAGGCTAATCACAAAGGGATTTTTTATTCATGTAACAATCAGCGTTTGAAATCATTAAAACCCGTGACTGGTAAGAAGAGACACCGGGCGTCGAATGTCACTCGGCCAGTCAGTAACTGCAGGTGCTGCCAACCCTCCAGCCTGCTAGAGTCCTGGGGGAGAACGTCCTTGTGTCCCCCAGGGGAACGGTTCTCTCTGGGCACCAGAAAATGGCTGGGCCTGGTCCAGCTGCCCTGGCCAGGCCGAGGCCGCAACTCCGCAGTGGAAGGGGAACTCCCGCTCCTTGGCCACCCCGCCCAGAGACTCCTCCCAAGGAGGGAGGGGCTGGGAAGACCCCACGTGCCCATCTCCGAACTAAAGGGCAGGTGGGGAGGGGGGCAGGACGTCCCTGCCCCCACCCCCCTTGGCACTTGGAAAAACGCTTCCCCCCCCCAGAATGGGCGCAGCAGCAGGGGGCTGCCCAGCCCGGCTGGTTAACACTGACCCCTGCGCTGGGGGGGTGAGAGGGGCCGCCCCAGCTGGGGGCAGCGCTAGCAGCAGTCGAGCTGCTGGTCCACCTGCTTGCGGCACGGCTCCATGGTGATGGCCACCCCCACCCCGCTGCGCCCGGACGTCATGCGCGTCACCTCCGTCCACGTGTCGGTGGTGGGGTCGTAGCACTCCACGCTGTCCAGGAAGGTGTGCCCGTCGTAGCCGCCTGTGGAGGAGAGAGCCTGCTGCCATCAGTCGGTTCCCTCTGCCCCGCGGGGGGGGCTCAGGCCCTGCCCCACGCCAGCCAAGAGCAGCTGAAACAAGGTCACTGCCCCAGCAGGAGCCAGGACCAGCCCAGGTCTCTGCCCCGCTCATGCCCTGCAGTGGGAGGAAGCTGCCCAGCCCCCCAGCCCCCAGGACTCACCCAGCACGTAGATCTTGCCCTGGTGCACAGTGACGGCCAGCGCACTGCGCCGGTGCCCCATGGGGGCGGCGAAGGCCCAGCTGTCCGTCTCCACGTCGTAGCGCTCCACGCTGTTGAGCTGGTCCGTGCCGTCGTAGCCCCCCATGGCGTAGATGCAGTTGTTGAGGGCACAGACGCCTGTGGGAACATGGAGCAGCAAGTCAGTGGGGGGCAGGGCAGCACGCACCGATCCCAGCCAACGCTGGGGGGGGCAGGGACCAACAGCCCCCCTTAATCTGCACAGGCAGCAGCACCTGAGTTAGGCCCAGCTCTGGCATCTGCTCAGGGTCCCTGAGACCCCTCCCCACCCCCTGCAGGGCTGCCAAGGCTAGGGAGAGCCCTTCCCCAGCCTGCCGGAGCCCCCCCGGGGTACTGGGGGTTAGGTGCTCAGCTGGCTGTAGCCTAGCCCCCCCGAGCCGCGAAGGCCTGCCTGGGGTAGGGTCAGCGCGCTCCCTGCACTGCCAGCAGAAAGGTCCTGCCCCTCACTTACCCGCTCCGCTCCGGATAGTCTGCATGGGGGCGATCATGCGCCACTCGTCCCGCTCCGGGTAGTAGCACTCGGCCGAGCTGAGCCGGCAGGTGCCGTCAAAGCCGCCCACGGCGTAGAGGAGGCGGTTCAGCACGGCCACCCCCACGCCGATCCTGCGTGTCAGCATGGGGGCCACTAGCTGCCACTCGTCCCGCTCTGGCTCATACCTGCAGGGCCAGAGGGCAACGTCGGACACCAGGGGAGGCAACCGGCCGGAGGGGGTGCGCGGGGAGCGGCACGGACCAGGGGCACCGGGCAAAGCTCCCTACTCCCGAGCCAAGGGGACGGGGGAGGCAGCGTGGGGGGTGGAGTGGCACTGCCCCGGGGGGAGACCCTGGGCAACTCCCGTCCCCCTTGGTGCCGCTGGGCTTCGGCCAGCCTGGCTAGGCTGGGGCAGGGACTCTCATGAGGCACCAGCCCCAACCACCCTCGCTGCAGCAGCATGGACTCCTGGGCTCTGTCACTGGCTTGGGCGGAGCCCGGGACTGCTGGGCCCCAATCCTGGGCTCTGTCACTGGCTTGGGGGGAGCCCGGGACTGCTGCGGCCCACCCCAGGGCATGCAGGGGCCACGTCACCTCTCCACGCTGTTGTGGTGGATGCAGCCGTGCGAGCCGCCCACGGCGTAGATCATGCCGTCGATGACGCCCACGCCGATGCGGTTGCGGGGCACGCTCATGGGGGCGCAGGGCGACCACTGGTTGGTCATGGGGTTGTAGCAGTCGATGGCGTTGGAGTCCATGTTGCCGTCGGGCGAGTTGTTCCGCCCCCCGATGGCGTAGAGGAGCCCCCCGACCACGCAGCCGGCCAGCCCGCTGCGGGGCACCTGCAGGTCCGCCAGCCGGAGCCAGGAGCCGTCGCAGGGGTTATAAGCCTCCAGGTAGCTGAGCGACTGGCGGAAGTACCCGCCGGCCGTGTAGATCAGCTGGCCCACCTTGGGGGCGCGCGTGGCCATGCCCTTGGTGGGCTTGTGCAGGGTGAGCTCCTGGAAGATCTGGGCCAGGTAGTCCTTGCAGCGCGAGTCCGACTGCAGGATCTCGCACTTCTGCAGCTGGGTCTGCAGGAAGTGGGGGGTGAGCGAGTGGCAGCGCACGGCCTGCAGCAGGGCCTGCACGTAGAGCCGCCGGCTGGCGCAGTCGTACTGCACCCAGTTGATGCAGGCGTGGAAGACCTCGGACTCGCAGCGCACGTTCAGTTCGTCCCGGCTGATCAGCGTCACCAGCTGGCAGTGCGAGAGGTTGAAGAACTCCTCCTGCTTGACCACCTGGGGGGGGGGGGGGGAG